GGGTGGAACTTGATTCCACAGGTCTTTGCTAGCCACCATTTTTGGACATCATAATTAAGGTTGAATAACCGTGACTCCAGAGAGGATCCAGATGCCCCTTAAAGGCTTTTCACCTTAAAATTGGTTCTTGAACATAATCCAAAACTTCACATGCTGTTCTATGCAGGTGGAAAGTCAAAGAATCTTAAGAAAATACAAACTCTCTGCAGCTATGCCATTGACTCAAATCAATACTTAATATTTCTGCCATGTTACTGTTCACTGTCAACTCTGGATACACAAAGAATATTGGTCAACATAATCCATACCTGATGTAAAGGCAAAGACAGAGCATTCTTAAGATAAACTTATTGAAGCCGTCAATGATTCCTAAAGTTTAAGCAACAGAAAAAGCCAGTGCCTCCCAGCAAGTGGTCCAGTTCTCATCCCTCAGTTGTGAAGTGCTGGATGATCACTTCTTTCCGTGTCTCCCTTGTGTTTTATCAGCACAGCACAAAGCCTGGCTGGAAGGGCGGTCCACGCCAGGACCAGGTCTCAGGTGTCTTGATGGCAAAGGCTCCCAAGAGACCTGTCACCAGCCTTCCCAGAGAGGCTCACCTGCCGCTTGAACAAACTCAGGAATTACTGGGCAGTAGCACACAGCAGCCCTTCCACAGGTCAAGCTTTTCTTTTACACAAACTGAGTTTGTTTTGTTTTGTTTTGGTAGTGTGCATTGCTGAGTGCCTTTCCAGTGTTGTCCTGAGTATGACCTTTGCCATTAAAAGCTGCTTATTCTAAGCTTCCCCGTAACATTTTCACCTTCCCCATAAGTGCTTACTTGTCCATCAGCGAGTACCAGAGTCAATGAGCTGGGTTTCTGGAAATCTGACATTTCTTTAGGGAGGCTTCTCAACTGAATGCAAGTCTGTCTCCCCAAGCCTGCCAAAACATCCATATCTGTTCTCCTTTCCTCATAAACTGCTCAGCACCTGAAATGACAAGTGGACAGCATTTGTCAGAGTGGACTTTTACAGAGCTGTACCTCCCAAGTCCTCCCCTCAGGCAGACGTGGAGGGTGTCTCTGTTTGGCCCCCATTGCAGATGGAGAACTGGATTCTCATCAGCCAGGCCCCTGCTGCCCATGATCCTCAGGCTGCTTCCCAAGAACCTAACTCTTTCATCACCTATTCCATCCTAGAACAGACTGGAAAATGACCCAATTAAGCCAGAGGATTGTGTGCCATTTTGCTACCAAAACATAAGACCCACAAAAGCGTTGCTTTTCCCAGGGTGAAACCAACTACGAAATCCTTGGTGGATGTCAGTAGACAACTCTGGCTCACGTGGGTTGGGCGGCCCTTAAATCCTACTGAGAGTGAAGCAGAGATAGTGACAGGCAGGCGTTTCTTTGAATGTTAGAATGGAAATATTCAAACTCTGAAACCCAGCCCTGTTCTCTGACCCCTGTGAGGCCTCCCTGTCAGGTTGTGTGAACATCACTCGCTTTCTACCCTCAGCATTCCATATTTAGTCCCCAGCTTGCCCCAGGGGTTACAAGTTTGGCATAAATCGTCTTTGTTTTTAAAGAGTGGGGAAAGTGTTGTTTCCCTTTAATTTTGTTTTTCTGGCAAACTTCCCTGCAAACATCTTTCAGTTCTAGCTAGGAAAACAATTGCTAACTGTCATGGATTTATGGATTTGTGATGTTAGAGTTTCATCTTACTGTCTCTTTCTTCTTCTGTGTCCTATTTAGTATTGGGGTTCTGTTCCTTTCTTCTCTGCCAAAAAGATAAGAACACTGCTGAACAATTGTTCACTGTGGAGTTCAGTTGTGGGAGGACAGCAGTAGGAACGTGTATGTTTTATTCCCAGATTAAAGTTGACTGAGTTGTTATGTTTTGTGGAGTTTTTGGAGGCCTTTCCCTTTCTTAGAACATCATGTGATTTCGTGGTGATAATTAGACAGAAAGTTGTCTTCCCTACATATGCCAAGATTATAGAGGGACTTACTCTCACCAGAGACCAGATGACAGCATTCATAGATATTTTTAGAACGAGCCTCATCATTTATTTGGTCTCCCCATTTCGTTTTTCTTGCATCAACAACTGATTTCCAACTTATTTATTGGGTAGGGAGGGAGAAATGGGATCTTCTCCCTATTAATGAAAGCCACTGATGGGACGGGACAACATATTCATGTTCACTGTTAATGGGCATGTTGCCTAGTAACTACAAAGTAACAGCTGCAATTCCATCAGCTATGTGCTTCCTTTTCCTTCTAAAAGTTTTGCTTGATCTGGTGTGTGTTTAAACTAGAAGGGCATCAACAAATACACATAAACCTCACAGTTAACTAAAACATCATACTTTAAACAATGTAAGAGTGATGTGTGCTTCCTTAAAATCTGTGACACTTGTGCCCAAGCTGAGTATCATCTAGTTCCCACCCAGCTCAGTAACTCAGTAGCAGGGTTTCCTCACTTAATACGCTCTTTCTCTTCTTTCTGTCCTTGATTGAATCAGATAAACATGTGCAGGCATTGAGCTACAAAAGAGCCTTTACAAATCTAAGCTAGATGAGTTGCTGCTTTCCTTGTGATTATTTTTATTACCCCAGTTTTCCTTGAGAGTGGATTGTGTTTCTGTTCAACATTTATCAGGTCCTTTTGCGTTTTCACAATATTTTGCAATCGGTTTTCCTTCTATCACAGAGAAAGCCAGTGGCCTTTCAGTTCTGTAGAGTGGGAGTCCCTATCTTTGATTTGTCCTCTGTAAGAGCTGTCTCTATACCTGAGCCTGCGCCTCTACCCACTTGATTTGTAGGCACCGAAGTGGTTTTCTGAGCAGGCCTCCCTGTAGGACATTGCCTGGGAGACCTCAGAGACATAGCGTCACAGGTGGCCCCAGCCCCAGTCTGCAGGAAGGGAGAAGGTGATGAAGAGTAGATTGCCTTCTTAATGATGAAGTTCCCTGAAGATTCTGGGCCTTTTGGTGAGGGAATGGGTATTTGTCGGTTGTGGCTTTAGATGGCCCCATGTGGACTGCCTGCCCCTTTTCTGCAGAGAATGGTGCCATGTGAGGGGTCGTAGGCACCCTCTGTCTCCTTCCCTCTTGTGTTGGCCCAGCCCCCACAATAAAGCAGACTGGTACAAGCTGCCACTGCACTGGGGAATGAAAGGTGTCACCTTTCCATTATGCATTGGCTCCTGTGGCTGAATAATTAACACCCGAGGGAACCAAGGGAGGGGGTCTGAGTTAAGGTAATCCGTTACAGCTTCTCCCTTGGCGCTTACAATAAGTCAGGATCACGACTTGGGGATGTAATCCCCTGATGACTCATTGCATAGTGATGTTAGAATGTGGTTTATTAAGTGTTATTGTGAAGGAAAAAGCATCCCCTTCCAAAGGACTCTGTGAAGCCCTGTCCCATGGTTCACACTTCGGAGGGCCCAGGAAGAGGAGTTGGAATGGCACTGGCTTTAGCAAGCTCAACACCTCACAGAAACTGAGATCTGGGGTTTCCTTTTTCTCCCTCTGAAATCAACAAGCCATTATTTTATAGTACAAGATCATATTGTCCAGTCTCTTTACAAAGCAACAAATATCCCTGAAAAACCAGCAGCGAGGGAAACTAAATACTAGGATTAGGTGGCACAAAGACAGGGCCTTCTTGTCCCATGTTATTATCTCTGCCTCCAACAGAACAACCTAAAGCCTTCTTTCTGGAGCTACAGCAAGGGTAAATATGACCGTGAGCCTCTAAAGTGTTAAATACTAATTCCTGTGGTCCTTGCTAATATTGATAGTGAAAGGTCATACCAGCAAGTGCAGAGGCCAAGGATGCTGAAGTCACAGGGCATTTGTGAACATTCCAAGGGACCACAGGACATCTCCAAAGGTGGGAGAAGCAGGTCACATATGTTGATGTGTGAGTTTACCAATACATGTTTCACGACTCACTCACCTTCTCTGGTGAGAAGATCATGAGTCATGTAGCTTCGCTACCACTTTTCTATCCATCTCTTGGCCTAGAGCCTTTTTTTTTTTTTTTGCTACCATAACAGCCAATACTGTCACCATAAACAAATCTTATGTCTTGAGGTCTATCACATCAATTCCTTCAGCTGCATCTCTAAATATGCTTTTTTTTTTAATCACTGAACTTTTCTGGGCTCAGTGGTCACATGAAGTCTTATAAGCTTGTATAAATTCAGATGCCCTGAGAGGACTTCTTTGGCGCCTTTCCATTGAAGATCTTTGGAGACAAGATACTTATAATGTTGTTAATTGTTAATGGGATGTTTTGTGGGGGGTTTGTTTGGCCATAGGCATGATACAGAATGTCTTTCTCTGCAAATGTTTAATGCCAAATTCCTAAGATGGCCTGCTTAGAAATGACTTAACTCTGTTTATGATAGGGGCAAGGTGGAATCCAGATGACCTACACCCGGCAGCACAGACATATTAATATTAAGACCTTTGTGGAAAGTGGCCATTTCGTCTCCCCTGATATTGGGGAATACTGGAGAGGGTGGTGAGCAAGTTCAGTAAGTCCACATGGCCAGTGGAGGAGAAGCAGAGTAGAACCTGGGCTGCCTAGGGTGGCCAGATTTCCTTCTTTTAGCATGAAAACCCCATGTCCTAGGAAACCCCTCAGTCCAGATGTCTAGAATGAAACCTCCGCACCTTGAGCATCTAACTTAAAAGGGCCCACAAAGATGCCCCAACTTGCCCTTCCTGGTGAACCACCCCAAGTGAAGGCTCCCGTTTCCTTTGGTCTTTTCAACTCTAGAACATTTTATAATAAGTTCCTCAAATAAGAAATAAGGTAAGCAATCTGCATGCTTTGTCCTTCGAATCTCCAAACTTTGAAACTGGTGTTGCAAAAATAGTTTTGCCGTGCATGCCCTGGGCTCGAGGTGGGGCGAGGGGGCAAGGAGGCCAAGGCCGGTAGCCCTCGGCTGCTACTGCTGATGAAATGCCCTGAATGACCTCTGGTTTTCTTTTCTCCTCCTTTAGACCCTCAAACTGACACAAGACCTACAGAGAAAACCCTTTGCCAAATCTGCTCTCAGCAAGTGGACAGTGATACCGTTTACAGCTTAACACCTTTGTGAACCCCGCGCCATTTCCTAACCCAGCAGAGACTGTTAACGGCCCCTTACCCTGGGTGAAGCACTTACCCTCGGAACAGAACTCTCTAAAAGTATGCAAAATTTTCCTTGCACGGGGTGGTGAGCTGCCTGCCAGCGGAGGACAGCACTCCAGCAGCACCACCCGCCCTCGTTCAGAGCACACCGCGAACCCCCCGTCAGCTGTTCTGTGGCGTTTTAATCTTGCGATGGTTTATGGGGTGTTTTAAGTGTTGTTCTTGTGTTCGTTTTCCTTTGACTCTCTGTTTTTCACATGCATTAACTTCAATATTTTTCTGTTAAAATGTTCACCGTCCTTCCCCTGGCAAACTTAAAAACAGAAGGAAAACGTTATACCAGTTACCATTCCGGCTTTGGGCGTCACAAGCGTTTGAGCCTGTGGAACTCCATAAACTAACACATTACATAAACTCGAGGGGGATTTTCTTTCTTCTTTTGTTCGGTAGAAAATTATCCTTTTCTAAAAACTGAACAATGGCACAATTGTTCGCTCTGCGCACCTATCCGGGATTGCACCATGCACAGGCGAAGTCAGCAGAGCGCGGCAACCCACCCAGTGTGTTTTCAGTTCTGAGTCAGGGTGGTCTGTGGACAGGACCCTAGCACCTGTGCAGTAGGGCCTGTAATCTCCTGTCGGTGTCCTCAGCTAACATGAACAGTGTTGGTCTATTGGTTAGAAACTAGGATCTTTTTCAGGAAAGAAATCAGCTCAGCTGTCCACTCATTGCCAAATGCCACTAAAGGGGTCAGTTTTAAGGAGGAAAAAGGAGTTCTGTCTCGCTTTGCAGAAGAAATGAGCTTACAGGTGAACCCCAAGCTTGCAGTGAGAAGTGTGGGACGGGTACAAACCTGAGTCACTGCGCTTCCGACGTCACTGTTTTCCTATATATACATTCTTGATCATTTTCACCCTTCCTGTGTGTGTAATCGGAGTGTATGGAGTAAGAGCCAATAGCATACAGACTGGTTTTTTAAAAAAATTAATAAGCTTAGGTTGTCATTGGACAGGTGACACGATGGCAGTATGAGATAGGGCACTTTTAACTTTTTTTCCCCTTCTATGGATTTCATTTTGTTTTGTTTTCCAAAAGTTATGGTGCTGTATAGGTGCTTTGTGTTTAACCTGGACAGTGTGATTACCTTCATTACCTTCTTTGGTAGACGGGATAGCTGGGAACACCTTTGGTACACGTGAAACTGGTGTGACTACGCTCTGATTAGCACAGCATATGCATACTTCTCCAAAGTGACACATGAAGACTCTTTTCTTTGCATAAAAAGCATCAGGCATATAAATATATAAATATATTTTATCATGTACAGTACAAAAATGGAACCTTGTGCATGGGCGTTAGGAATACAGGCTAGTATTTCACACAGGCTTCCCTGCTTGAGTTCTTGCTGATGCTTGCACCGTGACAGTGGGCACCAACACAGACGTGCCACCCAGCCCCCTGCACCCGCCACCGGCCACCAGGGGCTCCCTTGTGCGCCTTTGCTTTATAACGCCTCTGGGGGTGATGGTGGTGGTGACCACAGCTCCTAACATAATGAGAGTTCCATTTGGTATTGTCACACGTCTCTCCCGCCTCGCTTGGGTTGTCCTGTTTGAGCGACGGCCCTGTTGATTTCACCCTGCCTTTTACCGAATCTGTAAATTGTTGTGCAATGGTGGTTATAGTAGACCTGTAGCACATGGCCTTTTCTAAACTGCTCCATGTTTATAATCTTCCTTTTAAAAGTATGTATAATTTTTAAAAATATGTATTCTATTCACGTGGTCTGCTTGTCAGTGAGCCAGACTTGCTTCCTGTATTCCTTTATAATGATGCTACCACCCCCGTGATTCTTCAGTTGTCTGCTGAGCGCAACACACTGTCCAGTAACAGTGAGAGAGGGCTGCCTCCCCAGCCTCCTAAATGATGCTGCCCTGGGTGGGATGCATTGCACAGACGATGGCAGCAGCTGGGGGGTGGGTACCGCCTCAAAGGGCAATCCAGAGTGCTTCCAAGGGGAGGACCCTGCACATTTCTCTCCTGAGTTCAAAGAAACAAGCAAACTAGCCACACAGCCACTTGCCTTTGCAGTTTCATAGACCCTGGGGCCTGCGTCGAGAGTGAGAAGGGCAGTCCTCCAATGTGTTTCAACTTCAAAATGCTGATTTCCTTTGAGACACGTGGCATCTCGTATCTCTTTGCTGATATTTGTTGGATTTCAGGCAGAATGGCTTACAACATGTCTCCGAGAACAAGATTATCCTTTAATCTGAGACAGCTGAGGGAGGGACAGAGGAAGTATGAGGACAGGGCAGCCACAGAACAGGTCAGGAAAATAGAGGGTGAATGCTTGGATTTTTAAAAAATTGTTATTTTTGTTAATAACTCACACAGCATCTACACATGGAGTGTGGTGGAGAGCTGAGACCAGAGCAAAGTCAAGTGTTACAATAGCACTGTGAGACCTACCAGCCCTGGGAGAAGGGTCAGGCAAGAATCTAATAGTGTCCAGGGTCGTGGCACCCCCCCTAACCCTCAGCTGGCCAATGAGAGAGGCCAGGCTTCCCTAGATTAGCTAAGTTCCGAGGCAGTCAGACTGGACAGGGGTGCTGCCTGAGCCTTCTGCCCTTTGAATCGAGATCCCGCTTTCAGGACGGGCCAACTGCTGGCCACCACGTGGTGTTCTGAGTGCCACGAGTTCCTAACAATAAGTCGTCTGATCCAGAGCATCTCAGCAGAATACTTGATAGCCCCCAGGACCCGGCCGCTGTAGTGCTGAAATCATGATGAGAACTGTCCAAGGCTGCCCTCAGCTTCTAAACGAGCTGCTCCAGGGAGCTGCCTACTTTTAGATGGGAAATTGGCAAGAAGAGCACTCATGTTGAAAACATGACATGCACTCTCGGGCTCTGTTGTTCCCTTTTGGGCTCAGAACCTGATACCTTTTACCAAAGCTAGAAAAGAGCTTTATTGCAAGCCTTCACTGTCCTGGCGTGAGACTCACCGCCAGGCTCAGCGTACCCCATTAACTGTGAATGCATCTGAGATTGGTTTCCTTTATTGCATCCTCTGCAATATAGTGATGGCTGAAATACATTTTTAAAAACAATTTCAGAAGTTTGTCTCTCCTGTGAATGGAAGGATCATGCACATACGTGTAGCACAAGGCGGACTTTGTGTTTGTTTTTGGTGTTGATTTTTAGCATTGTGTGTGTCGCTTCCCCACCCTGAGGAGAGGACACTACTCAGGACAGGTCTGCCCCCTCAGGGTGTGACTCAGGTGGCTCCAAATGTGCACACAGTCTAATGATGATAGGGACAGATGGTGCCTCTGCCTAACGACCCCATGTAAAGAATGAGGAGCGCTTGAGTCTCTTGGAAAAGACCATCAGGAGGGAAGCAGTCAAAAAGCAAGTCCTCCATTCCACATGTGGGTGCCGGGAGCGGGCAAGGGAAATAAAAATGTTATCCTTTCTAAAAGCAAAAAGAAAAACCCTGACAGCTCTGAACTCCGATTTCCTTTTTTTTTTTTTGCTGTACTTGGGGAACATTGTATGATTAGACATCATGTTTTAAAACATAATAATAAGCAAATGTTGGGTAGAAACGCAACCACTAGTAAAGAGGTACGAAAAAGCCAGCCTCTCTGGAGACTGGGGAGGCAGGTACTACGAGGCAGAGATGAACTACCGGCGGGAGCAAGGCTGTCAAACAGGACCGGAAGGCAGATGCCCGGATAGCTGAAAAGAGGGTATTGGGTCTCATCTAAATCTTAAAGTGGGTAACATTTTATGCAGTTTGTATGAATGGAATATTTTCCTCTTGTTTAGTTTCATTTGTACATCTTTTTCTTTGATGAATGATTGGTCATGAGGCCTCTCACACTCCAGAAACACGTGTATGGCTGCTTTTTTAAAAAATGTGTGTCTGGTCACTTATTTCTCTCAGATTATCTCATCGCCTGGCAATCAGTCTTCTCTTGTATACTTGTCCCAGCCCATTTTGTACATGGGAAATGTAAACAAATGTGAAGGAGGACCAGGAAAATTAGTTACTATTAAAAAAAATGTATTGTGCATTTTGGCTTCACATGTTTAACTTTTTTAAGGAAAAAAAGTTGCATGAACGGAAAAAAAAATCTGTATACAGTATCTGTAAGAATTGTCTTACCTGTTTCAATTCCTTGCTCATACCCCATATAATCTAGAACTAAATATGGTGCCTGACCATATTTACACACCTGGGAGTCGAGCAGTTCATACGTTGGTTTGAAGCACCTCATCCTTCCTTTCCAAGTGAACACTATCATGTTGCATTCTTACTGGAGATTTTGTCTAACCATATGTTGCCATGGATTAACTCCGCCGCCTTTCTTCTCAAGGATCAAAACCAGTTTGATTTGGGAATCTTCCCCTTTCCAAATGTAATAGAGATGCAGTACTTACTTTCCTTGGTGTCTGTAGATATTGCCTTGTGTATTCCATTTAAAACCGTAATCTAGTTTGTAAAAGACATGGTGACGCATGTAAATAAAGCATCGATGACACTCTACCTTACTCCAAGATGTCTGTCTGTTCCCCTTCCCTTTTTCTTTAATCCTAGGAATAAAATGATTGAGTTGGTCTCAAGGTCTTCCTGTGGAAGGACGTCATAGCTGGGAGAGGCACAAAGTTGAGAGATTTCCATCACGAGAACTTTAAAGACATGAACCTCGTAAACACTCCTTCTCTGGCCCATTTCTGACCTCCACAGACAATTTAATAAAAACACGTCGAGGGCATTGCTCACGGTGGCCAGTAGCCATGGTTGGTGTGCACTGAGTCATGTGGCCCCAAAGAGCTTTCAAGTGGGGAAGCGGGATTTGAACTCTGCCTCCACTGAGCTTCAGAGGTTTGATCCTCAGGTGGTCTTCCTCATGTGAGTCCAGAAAATGAGCATGGGTCGTCCACAGTGCCCTCCTACATATCGAAAGCAAACACTTCTAGTTTGGCTTCTGGTGGCAATAGCATTAAGTATTTCCTCTGTGGGTACAGTTAAGGCCTCCTCCACTAAGGAACTCCATCTATTGTAAACCTATTCTTAGTAGCCTAGGTTCTGTTTTTCATTTTAACAGCCATATAAAAATTATTCAGCTTATAGAACAAGCAGGATTTGGTTTAAGGTCCCACACCACATGGTGGGCTCTTATTTCAGCTCAAGGAGGTGAAAGAAGTGTTTAAATTGGCTGTTTGGGATAAATTCTGGCTTGGTGGAGAGTCATGCTGTTATAAGTTTTTCCTCGTCATTGTTTTAATTATGATAGTAAAACCTCACCATCTTCTGATACCAAAGCCTTCTGGGGAGGGGTATTTCACTTGAAATTATGTCCCAATTTTGATTCTTCTCCCAAAAGATGAAAGATGGAAGCCTAATACCAGCTGTCACGAGATTCATAGCAGGTTTCTCCAAAACCAAGAGCTAGTTAAAAGTGAATGATCAACAGTGACTAAGTCGACCTGTAGCATGGTGATGGGTCAGCCCCTTAATGGGCACCAGGAGAGTGAGCCCCTGTGCCTGCCCCCTGTGAGGGTGTGCTCAGGTGTGATCAGGAGGAAAGGGGTGGTTCTCACAGACTCCTTCTGCTTCAGCTTGTGTAAAAGAGGAAGAATTTGGACTAGTTAATCTCTAAGACACTTTGGGGATTTGATTTTGTAATTATTCAAGCATCAGAGCAAAGCTTTAAGTCTGCAAATGTTACTTTGACGTGTAACAGCCAAGTTACCCACACCACAGCTGAAATACAGTGGTCTCAGGTGGAGGAGGGTGGGATTCATAACCACCATCTGACACACACACACACACACACACAATCACCCACCACCCTCCCCCAAGATACGGGAAGTAGGAAAATTGCTGTGGGGGAGGGGTGGAGAGCAGTCTGTGGTGTCCTGGGTTCCTCTCAGCTCAGCCCTGTGGTAGGAAGGAGCAGAGAGTGTGTGTAAGGTGTGGGGGTAAAGAGGGGCTCATTCACAAAGGGGACTCACTCCAGCTCTGCTTTCTTCTCCATCAAAGAGAAGCAATGGTCCTGGGCTTGCAGGACACATTTGGAGCTGGATGAAGAGCCCTTTCTCTTGGATGTTCCTCGTTCAAAAGTTAAAAGAGCCTGGGAGCAGTGGCTCATGTCTGTAATCCCAGCACTTTGGGAGACTTAGATGAGAGGATTACTTGAGCCCAGGAGTTCTACACAAGCCTGGGCAACATAGGGAAAACTCATCTCCACAAAAAGAAAGAAAAAAATTAGCAGCACATGGTGGTACTTACCTGTGGTCCCAGCTACTCAGGAGACTGAGACTGAAAGGATTGCCTGAATCCTGGAGGTCGAGGCTGCTGTAAGCCATGATCATTGTGATCATGCCACTATGTTCCAGCCATGGCAACAGAGTAAAACTTCAACTCAAAAAAATAAAAGCTGGACATGGTGGCTCACACCTATAATTCCAGCACTTTGGGAGGCTGAGGTGGGAGGATTGCTTGACCCCAGGAGTTCAACACCAGCCTGGGCAACATAGAGAAACTTCATCTCTACAAAAAAAAAAAAAGTTAGCTGGGCATGGTGGTCATGCCTGTAGTCCCAGCTACTCAGCAGGCTGAGGCTGAAACCTCAACTTAAAAATATAAAAAAAAGGTTCGTGACCTGCCGGGGCAACTTGGCAAAACCTCATCTCTACAATAAATAAAAAAAAATTAGCTGGGCGTGGTAGTGCGCGCCTGTAGTTCCAGCTACTTGGAAGGCTGAGGTGGAAGGATCGCCGGAGCCCAGCAGGTCAAGGCTGCGGTGGCCAGGAGCAGCCACTGCACTCCAGTCTGGGTGACAGAGTGAGACTCCAACTC